ACTACTACTTCAAACAAGTAGTGAGTTAAAGATGGAGAGCGAGGTTGATAGCTGCTGTTATATGGAGGGTAAAGCTGCTTAGGGCGAAAACGAGGGTCATTTGTATTACTTTTGCACCCAGGAATCAAAGTACCTTACCGTTTGTACTCACTCGACACAGATCGGTCTTAGAGATAAATATTCATTGTGCGCGTTAGACTTGGCTGGATGCCTTCCGCTCCCAAGCAGAACTTGAACCTGGTTGGTTGGTTGGTTAGATTGAGATAGAGAACCTGGTACCCTCTGCTTTTCAATCATGGTCTCAGACCATGCCACTAAGCCTGCCTGCCTGCTGATATTGCAAACGCGGTTTTACATTTCCACTAATTCAACAAGAAGTTGGAAGTTTTGCTATGATCAGTCACTTGTAGCTTTGTTGATAGGCACGTATATCTCTACTCCACATCAACTCTGTAGCCTTCTGCCATTCTTCTACTCTTTTATCCCTCCCTACTGAGTACCTACACATTTGATTGTGACAGAGAATGATTATGTTATGCCCCCCCCCCCCCCCCAAACCGGGCTTTGTCATATTATTGGGCAACGATACCGTTTGACTTTGCAAAGTAAAAAAAAAAGAATACAAAATACAAACTTTCATGCTGCGCAAGCTCGCGGTAACGCCGAAACCACAGATAGGCGTTTATTGTACTAGGTTGTGTCTTCAGTAAAACATTATGGACTTCGTTGGCACCTTTCTCCTGTGATGACCATTTTTTACTATTCTGATTCCTAATTCTACAGTATCATTTCTCTGCAAGAGAACCGACTCTGGTCCGTCAGGTGTATTCAATGGCAGAACACCGACAACAAGAGTCACTGCACTCTGTGATCAAGAGACTGATGGAGGTGGCTGGACTGTGTTTCAGAGAAGACAAGATGGTTCAGTGGACTTTTACCGTGACTGGAATGCATACAAACGAGGATTCGGATCAGCTGCTGGAGAGTTCTGGCTGGGTCTAGATATACTACACTATCTGACGTCACAAGCTGGTAGTACTTATGAACTGCGTATTGATATGATGTTCAAGACAACTGGAGAGAAGCATTATGCCAAGTGGTCTACATTCCGTGTTGAAGGGGAAGCTAACAATTACAGACTACATGTTTCAGGATTCTCAAGCCCTACCTTGGTGGACAGCATGAGAGTCCACAATGGACAACAGTTCAGTACTCGAGACCGTGACCATGACTCGCACAGTAGTGACTGTTCCAATAGGTACAAGGGTGGTTGGTGGTATCACGCGTGTTACTTTGTCAATTTGAATGGATTGTATGGACGTAGTGATGGAGACACAGCTGGTGCAGTGTACTATCAAGGCGGGTTCAAGAGTTTGAAGTTTGTGGAAATGAAGCTAAGAAGGCGTGGCTAAAACCCAATGCACTACTAGATTCACTACACACACTGTGCTCATTTGCATCCAAATGCAAAATTCTGCACTTTTTTGAACGTTTTCACTGGTTTCCTCTTTTCGTGATGGCTTTTGGCTATCCTTGGATATTATGTGATGCCTCTTTCGACCCATACATTTCTTTTGCAGGAGAGTCAACCTGCCATTCAATTCTTAATCACCGGCTTCCAAAAAGCCAGCAATGCTTTTGTTTAACATAATATTAATACAGACATGCACTAAGGGAGTGTTTACCATTTCAGGGCATTGCGCGCATCTTCATAACCAGCTCCTCCGCCACCATACAACACATTGATCTCCTAAGAGTGCTTTTGTTTCATACTTCTTATCAGCGAGCCATCGTGGTTACAAGAATACATTCATTCTTTCTGATATACTGTACTTTCCCTGTCTAATACAATCACCCGCATTCTCTCACTAACCACCTGAACATTAACCATCTAGCGCTATACACTTTACCAGCTGTTTTCTTTGTTGTTTCACGTCACTAATTGCTTAAACCAGACACACTGTTTTGCTACTCACGAGCAAAAGCTGAAGTTCAATTGAGGGGTAGTCAAGTAGTTAGTGCGGGGCGGGTTCTGGTGCACTTTTTGACCTTTGACCTTTGGGCCAAATAAGGCACACTGTGTCGGGCTCGTTTGGTCTGGCTCGGGGACTCCCCCAGGGTTTGACCTTTGACCTTTGGGTTAAATAAGGCACACTGTGTCGGGCGCGCTTGGTCTGGCCCCGGGCCGGGCCGGGACTCCCCCAGGGTTCGACCTTTGGCCCTGCCATGCCATAAATGTCATCATGTTCTTTTCCGTGGCGACCGTGCACTTGTGCACGTTCGGTGCATTCGCACCAGGGAGTAGTAAAAGACGTACTACTCCCTGATTTGCACATCGTAATTGTGCAGTGAATGACATATTGCGCATGCGCGCATAAGTACGCGGAGCGTGCGACCTTCAGTGGCCCTGCGTGTGGAAAAGACGTATACACCAGGTGTACTAGTACACGTGTCATTGTAGGGTGATAGCCGACCTCATATACGCTGTACGGGGAGATTATTTCCTCAGTATGTTGTAGGCAGTGCTGGAGGTGACGTGACGATGGCGGAGCCAAGTGCAAAACGATCTAGGCAGCCCAGACATATAGCTAGACAGCCCACCTCGAGTGCCGTGCGTGGGTTTTTGAAAAAGTTTTCTTTGCCAGGTTCAGGCACTGATCCTCTCGTCTTTTTCAGCAGCCATCATGACGAGCTCCGACAGGTTCTGCTCGAGGAGCTTCAGTCTCACCCTTTCAAGGTGGTTTTAGTTTTGAGGGTGGAGATGACACGAGAGTCGGCCACGGGTAGTACGTCTGCCGTCCCGTTTTTTAGAAGTAGACCGGCTCGGATCCTCAGCGAAGGGGACATTGATAGTGCAGTCAAGACGATGGTGGCGAGGATCACTGGTCTTATTGATAAGTGGATGCAGAACGGATCCAACTGGACCGTTTCTCGAGTGAGACAGCTGGATGTGTCGACAGCAAAGTACACTCCTCTTCGAGGTGAGTTTCTGTTCATCCGGCAGTGTTTGTTCGAAGCCTGTCGAATTTCTTGTGGAAAGTTGTAGATGTATGTTTTGTACCAGATGTACAGTTTTTCGTGATTGTCGAGAGGGTGTAGTTGTGATGTGGTGTTACTCTGAGCAAAGCCTTCGTTGTATTTTTGTGGTGTTCTGTAGGTGGTGCAGCTGCTATCCCGCCGAAATTAGAAAAAAAGAAGGCCATCATTAACGTAAAGAACAACGATGACAGGTGTTTGATGTGGGCGTTGTTGTCAGCGCTGCACCCCGTCGAACAGAATGCTGAGCGTGCATCCAAGTACACCCAGTATGTTGATGAGCTGCGGTTCGATGGTGTGATGTTCCCTGCAACGCTCCGTGATGTACCCAAAGTGGAGTTACAGAATGGTCTTGCAATCAATGTGTTTGGCTACGAGTGGAATCTGTACCCACTCTATCTCAGCGAGCGACAGGAGACTCCAATCAACCTCCTTCTTCATGACAACCACTTCACATGGATAAAAAACTTCAGTCGTGCATGTGAGAATAAGAACAAGCGGGCAACACACTACTGCTTGCGATGCCTCTCCGCACACAAAACAGCAGACTCCCTGCAGCATCACAGCGAGAGATGTCAGGTGATGAAGCCCGTGCCAGTCGTCATGCCCACAGCAAAGGACAGAATCCTCAAATATACAAATTTGAAGCACAGGATGGTGGCTCCATATATCATTTACGCTGATACGGAGGCCATCATTGAGCCGATGGAGGAACAGCATGGCAGCAGCACTGTACGCACAGCCCGTCATGTACCATGCAGCATCAGGTATGTTTTGTTGTTGGTGTTGTTTTTGACTAATGTTTGCTGTACTCATGCCTGCACAGTGCTTCCTGTTATTCCTTCTTGTCTTGTTCTCCCCTAATTGTGTTCGTGTTGTAGTACGTGCATTTTGTGTGATTCCATTTTTTTTTTAAATCACTCATTCTTACTTTCCTTCTTCTTTTATGCTCTTGTAGATATGCTGCCATCCGATCCAACGGTGAAGTCCGTGGCGAGTTTGACGACTGCAGTGAGAATGCCATTCACAACTTTTTCGACAGTCTCAAAGAGTTGGAAGGCAGTATCCAGGAGGATTTGGCTGATATCAAGCCAATTCGCATGACGGCAGAACTGGAGCTTGAGTTTCAGAACGCAGTCAACTGCTGGATATGTGATGAAGTACTTGGAGAAGATCGTGTTCGTGATCATGATCATCTCACTGGTAAGTATTATAATTTTTTGTTTATTTTTGTTGTTTTGCAGTTGTGTGTAGATATGCGCATGATGTGTATAGTGCATTTTCATGTCTTTGTAGCTGTTTGCATCTGTGTTTTATCATGGTGTATTGAATTGTATTGTCTGTGGTATCACCTTCACTGTAGATGTTTACTATGTTTGTGTATTCCCCTCTTTCTGAATATCTGCACAGGCAACTACCGTGGTGCTGCACACTACCAGTGTAATATTCAGCTAAGTATCTACCCAGATCGCCAGATCATTCCGGTTGTGTTTCACAACCTGAAAGGGTACGATGCTCACCACCTCATCGCCCACATTGGTATGACCGAGGTTGAAGAGGTGGAGTACGAGGACTCTAACCAGCGTAAGCGGATTAAGAAGGTTGGTGAGATCAGTGTCATCGCCAACAACATGGAGAAATATATTTCATTCAAGTGGCGTCAGTACCGCTTCATCGACTCCATGGCCTTCTTGAACTCCTCTCTTGACTCGTTGGTGAGCAACACCCCGGAAGATGCGCTCAAGCTTACTCGTACATTGGCCCATCATGACCTTCTCCTGCGTAAGGGTGTCTACCCCTACGAGTACATGGACTCCTTTGCTCGGTTTGATGAGACACAGCTGCCACCTAAATCAGCATTTGAGTCTAGTTTGACTGGAGAAGGTATCAGTGATGCCGACTATGCCCATGCTCCGTTACGTATGGCAGGTAAGCAGCTTGTGCCTTCTGTATTGTGCTCTACTTATGACTTTGAATGCTGTTGTGATGTGCTCTACTCATTTTTTTGTACTCATTGCTCTCTATCTGTGGATGCTTGTGTGCATGTGTGTATGGATGCTTGCGTGTGTGTGTGTGTGCGTTGTTGTTTTGTTTTTCGTTTTGCAGACATTTGAGTGCAGTACAATGGAGACCTATCATGACCTCTATTTGCAAACAGATGTCTATCTTCTAGCAGATGTCTTTGAGCATTTCCGCAAGACGGCATACAAGACGTATGGGTTGGATCCAGCCCATTACCTTACTCTCCCAGGTATGTTCATCAGTCTTTGTTGTTGTCCAATGTATTCTCTCCTTTAGATGGTGTTCTCTGTTAGTATTCTTGTGCTTTCTTGTCGGTGTATTTATATACTTTTTGCATGGTGTATTGACTTTCGTGTTTGTGTTCTGGTGTGTTGTATGGTGTTATGTAGGATATGCATGGGATGCTCTACTACGGTTCACCCAGATTGAACTGCAGCTGCTCACGGATGTAGACATGCATCTGTTTGTCGAAGCCGGTCTACGTGGGGGCATCTCAATGGCGTCGCAGCGGTACGGCAAGGCCAACAACCCAACGATGGATCAGTACAATTCTGCCGAGCCCACATCATACCTGCTATACCTTGATGCCAACAACCTGTATGGCTGGGCTATGTGCCAGAGTATGCCGACATCCGAGTTTGCCTGGTGTGACAAGAACCTGTCCGAGATACTGGCACACCCTGTAGATTCGAGCACTGGGTTCATTGTGGAGTGTGATCTTGAGGTACCCTCTTCGCTGCACCACTACTTCAATGATTATCCACTCGCACCGGAAGTGATGAGAACATTCTCAGATAAGCTATCACCATACCAACAAGCACTTGTGGAGGAGCTCAAAGTGTCAGCCGTAGATGGAGTCAAGTTGACACCCAGTCTCCTACCCAAGTCCAAGTATGTGTTACACTACCGTACACTGCAGCTGTATTCGCGTCTGGGCATGGTGGTGACCGCTGTTCACAAGGTGTTGGGATTTCAGCAGAGTGCCTGGATGGCTCCCTACATCAATCTGAACACTGCACTTCGCACGAGGGCTACAACCGACTTTGAGAAGAGCTTTTACAAGGTAAATGCAACCGTTGTGTGCAGTCTTGTATGTTGTTGTTGTTGTTTTTGTCGCATGTATGGTGCAAGTGTGACGTGGAGTATGCTAATTGAAAAATATGCTGATGTGAAGGAATGGCATGATATGATTCTCATGCGTCATGTTTGCCTGTTTGTGTGCTGCAGCTGATGAACAACTCAGTCTTTGGCAAGACGATGGAGAACGTTCGTAATCGAATACGCATCGATCTCTTGCGAGAAGAAAGTGAGGAGCAGGTACTGAGGGCAGTGAGCAAGCCTACATATGTGCGGCACGACATTTTCCCGAACGGGCTTGTCGGAATAGAAAAGCAGCACACTGAGATCAAGCTCAACAAGCCGGTCTATGTGGGTATGTCGATACTAGACCTGTCAAAGGTACACATGTACTCCTTCTACTACGATGTGCTGAAGGAGCAGTACGGTAGCAGAATCCGGCTGTTGTACACCGACACCGACTCTGTTATTGTGCACATAACCACCGGTGATGTTTATGCAGAGATGGATCTGTCTCTGTATGACACCAGCAACTTTCCCACTGACCATCCTCAGTACACTTCTGTCAATAAGAAAGTGGTTGGCAAATTCAAAGATGAGCTTGGTGGGAAATCCATGGTGGAGTTTGTAGGTCTAAGATCGAAGATGTACTCCTACATCGGACAGGAATCGGCCAAACGGGCCAAGGGTGTGCGAAAGGCAGTCCTGGCAAATACCATCACCCACAAGGACTATGTAGATGCACTGCTCAGTCATCGTGTGTCTTCCAGGCCTATGACGGGTCTCCGATCACATTGCCACACAGTGTATGAGGAGGTAACCACCAAGGTGGCATTGTCTCCATTCGACTGCAAGCGGTACATACTGGATGATGGCATGGCCACACTTGCATATGGTCACAAGGACATTTAATGGACAGGACCCCACATTGAACATGTTTCATCATTTTCATACAAAACTCCCCGCCGTTCTTCTGTCATGAATTCCTCCTATCTTGGCGTGTGGGGCCGGCTCAACCAATATACATTTTTGTTAAATATTTCAGGCTTGTGCCTCAATCATATTGCAGGATATAGTGCATCGTGCGGTATAATAATCTTCATCGTATCATCAAATATTGCCCTACACACTTTGGTTTGCAGTGTGTGCACAGCATAGTCCATATATCATCAAATTGATCAAGTTCAGTAGCTGCGGGCATATATTTCCCCAGCTTGAGAAAATGCTTATATACTTGCGTAAATTTATGCTCACAATGATGACATTAAAATGAGATTAACTCTACCACACATTATATTACCAGACACTGCTGTTGTTGTTGTTGTCGTCGTCGTTGTTGTTGTTGTTGTTGTTGTTGGTTGTTGTTGGCTGTTGCTGGCTGTTGTCGGTTGTTGTTGGTTGTTGTTTTTGGTTGTTGTTGTTGGTTGTTGTTGTTGGTTGTTGTTGGTTGTTGTTGTTGGTTGTTGTTGGTGGTTGTTGTTGGTTGTTGTTGTTGGTTGTTGTTGTTGGTTGTTGTTGTTGGTTGTTGTCGGTTGTTGTTGGTTGTTGTTGTTGGTTGTTGTTGTTGGTTGTTGTTGTTGGTTGTTGTTGGTTGTTGTTGTTGTTGTTGGTTGTTGTTGTTGTTGGTTGTTGTTGTTTGTTGTTGGTTGTTGTTGTTTGTTGTTGTTTGTTGTTGGTTGTTGTTGGTTGTTGTTGGTTGTTGTCGGTTGTTGTCGGTTGTTGTTGGTTGTTGTTTGTTGTTGTTGGTTGTTGTTGTTGGTTGTTGTTGTTTTTGGTTGTTGTTGTTGGTTGTTGTTGTTGGTTGTTGTTGGTTGTTGTTGTTGGTTGTTGTTGGTGGTTGTTGTTGGTTGTTGTTGTTGGTTGTTGTTGTTGGTTGTTGTTGTTGGTTGTTGTTGTTGGTTGTTGTCGGTTGTTGTTGGTTGTTGTTGTTGGTTGTTGTTGGTTGTTGTTGTTGTTGTTGGTTGTTGTTGTTTGTTGTTGTTTGTTGTTGGTTGTTGTTGTTTGTTGTTGGTTGTTGTTGGTTGTTGTTGGTTGTTGTTGGTTGTTGTCGGTTGTTGTCGATTGTTGTCGGTTGTTGGTTGTTGTTGTTGGTTGTTGTTGTTGGTTGTTGGTTGTTGTTGTTGGTTGTTGTTGGTTGTTGTTGGTTGGTTGTTGTCGGTTGTTGTTGGTTGTTGTTGTTTGTTGTTGGTTGTTGTTGGTTGTTGTTGGTTGTTGTTGGTTGTTGTTGGTTGTTGTTGGTTGTTGTTGTTTGTTGTCCCATGAGACAATGAAACTACAAAGGAAATGGGCTACTGACGAGGCGCCTGTGACCACGCCAATGCCTGAAACTGATGAAGCTGAGGAACGGAGGATCCTTGAGTTGGCCGTTAGTTGACTTGAGCGTGATTGACGCAGTGTTTACACTCCTCAGCAAATCCCATCAAATCGGAGCACATGTCGACGGGAGCTTAGAGTTGGCGCTGCTCAGTAATGGCAAAATATTTTAAATGGCCGCCAAGACCTTTCTCAATAGGCGGAAGAGTCACCTGTATGCAATACGTTGTATATGTCATGTGTGTGTATTGTATATGCATTGGGCTCGAGTAACTCAACAGCATTTGCTCAGTAACACTCAACACTTCCACCATCAAATGGGAATACACATGTTGAAGCAAGCTTAGAATGAGCGTTACTTGGTAATAACAGAATGAACCCGATGACCTACATGTACGTAAACAGGTGGCTAAATCACTGGTACACAAATGCATTCGGCATGAGATACGCATTTACGCACTCATCAACTGTGATATGTTCCATGCGGTCGCCAGGTGTGTGTCTCTGCTAGGTAAATGGACGGGATAAGGTATTATATTCAGTTCATGTTCGAGTCCGTTGTAGTTTTGACAGAGATCGAGATGTCACGCTGGTTGCTGAATTGGATGACGGGAACGCAAACCAATAGTGGTCAGGAAGTTGGTCCACGAGCTGCTGTTGTCCAACGGAACGATGATGGTAGCGAAGATGAAGCAGAAGAAAGTGTTAAATTTGTTCTCAGGAAAAGGAAGAGAGTGACGACATCATCCTTGCTCCTACCTGTCATGTTGAATCCAGGATTTCTGGGTTTTGTAGGATCGTTGCCACGCAAGCGTCGGTTCTGGTCGGCTCATGCTGATGGCGACGATGATGGTGTATGGGAAAAGAGATCTTGGGGACATGGAGTAGACTTGGACAAGACTTCCAAGGTGTCGAAGATGAGAGGTTCATCGAAAAGTTTCGAGTGACCAAATGCATATTTCTGGCTGTGCACGATTTGGTCAAAGATACCATTGATTGTCAGACGACGCACTTGCGCAAGTGATCTCTGGGAAAAAACGTCTTGCAATATTCCTCCAATGGATGGCTCATGCCGAGGAATTCCAGCAGTTGGCAAAAGAGTAACGCATTGGTACTTCTACAGTCCATAGCATCATGCAAGCGTGTGTATCTGCATTCCGGCAACTGGCCCCTAAGTTCATTGTCTTTCCCCAAGACCAGCTCAATGTAGCTGACGTTGTCTCCGGGTTTAAATCTCTGTGCCACCTACCTGGCTGTGCTGGTGCAGTTGACAGCACTTTCAAAATCATACATTGAGCTGGTCTTGGGGAAAGACAATGAACTTAGGGGCCAGTTGTCGGAATGCAGATACAAACGCTTGCATGATGCTATGGACTGTAGAAGTACCAATGCGATACTCTTTTGCCAACTGCTGGAATTCCTCGGCATGAGCCATCCATTGGAGGAATATTGCAAGACGTTTTTTCCCAGAGATCACTTGCGCAAGTGCGTCGTCTGACAATCAATGGTATCTTTGACCAAATCGTGCACAGCCAGAAATATGCATTTGGTCACTCGAAACTTTTCGATGAACCTCTCATCTTCGACACCTTGGAAGTCTTGTCCAAGTCTACTCCATGTCCCCAAGATCTCTTTTCCCATACACCATCATCGTCGCCATCAGCATGAGCCGACCAGAACCGACGCTTGCGTGGCAACGATCCTACAAAACCCAGAAATCCTGGATTCAACATGACAGGTAGGAGCAAGGATGATGTCGTCACTCTCTTCCTTTTCCTGAGAACAAATTTAACACTTTCTTCTGCTTCATCTTCGTCACTATCATCGTTCCGTTGGACAACAGCAGCTCGTGGACCAACTTCCTGACCACTATTGGTTTGCGTTCCCGTCATCCAATTCAGCAACCAGCGTGACATCTCGATCTCTGTCAAAACTACAACGGACTCGAACATGAACTGGATATAATACCTTATCCCGTCCATTTACCTAGCAGAGACACACACCTGGCGACCGCATGGAACATATCACAGTTGATGAGTGCGTAAATGCGTATCTCATGCCGAATGCATTTGTGTACCAGTGATTTAGCCACCTGTTTACGTACATGTAGGTCATCGGGTTCATTCTGTTATTACCAAGTAACGCTCATTCTAAGCTTGCTTCAACATGTGTATTCCCATTTGATGGTGGAAGTGTTGAGTGTTACTGAGCAAATGCTGTTGAGTTACTCGAGCCCAATGCATATACAATACACACACATGACATATACAACGTATTGCATACAGGTGACTCTTCCGCCTATTGAGAAAGGTCTTGGCGGCCATTTAAAATATTTTGCCATTACTGAGCAGCGCCAACTCTAAGCTCCCGTCGACATGTGCTCCGATTTGATGGGATTTGCTGAGGAGTGTAAACACTGCGTTAATCACGCTCAAGTCAACTAACGGCCAACTCAAGGATCCTCCGTTCCTCAGCTTCATCAGTTTCAGGCATTGGCGTGGTCACAGGCGCCTCGTCAGTAGCCACTTTCCTTTGTAGTTTCATTGTCTCATGGGACAACAAACAACAACAACCAACAACAACCAACAACAACCAACAACAACCAACAACAACCAACAAAAAACAACAACAACCAACAACAACCAACAACAACCGACAACAACCAACCAACAACAACCAACAACAACAACCAACAACAACAACCAACAGCCAACAACCAACAACAACAACCAACAACAACAACCAACAACCGACAACAACCGACAACAACCAACAACAACCAACAACAACCAACAACAAACAACAACAAACAACAACAACCAACAACAAACAACAACAACCAACAACAAGAACAACCAACAACAACAACAACCAACAACAACAACAACCAACAACAACCAACAACAACAACCAACAACAACAACCAACAACAACAACCAACAACAACCGACAACAACCAACAACAACAACCAACAACAACAACCAACAACAACAACCAACAACAACAACCAACAACAACCACCAACAACAACCAACAACAACCAACAACAACAACCAACAACAACAACCAAAAACAACAACAACCAACAACAACAACCAACAACAACAAACAACAACCGACAACAACCGACAACAACCGACAGCAACCAACAACAACCAACAACAACCAACAACAAACAACAACAAACAACAACAACCAACAACAAACAACAACAACCAACAACAACAACAACCAACAACAACAACAACAACCAACAACAACCAACAACAACAACCAACAACAACAACCAACAACAACAACCAACAACAACCGACAACAACCAACAACAACAACCAACAACAACAACCAACAACAACAACCAACAACAACAACCAACAACAACCACCAACAACAACCAACAACAACAACCAACAACAACCAACAACAACAACCAACAACAACAACCAAAAACAACAACCAACAACAACCGACAACAGCCAGCAACAGCCAACAACAACCAACAACAACAACAACAACGACGACGACAACAACAACAACAGCAGTGTCTGGTAATATAATGTGTGGTAGAGTTAATCTCATTTTAATGTCATCATTGTGAGCATAAATTTACGCAAGTATATAAGCATTTTCTCAAGCTGGGGAAATATATGCCCGCAGCTACTGAACTTGATCAATTTGATGATATATGGACTATGCTGTGCACACACTGCAAACCAAAGTGTGTAGGGCAATATTTGATGATACGATGAAGATTATTATACCGCACGATGCACTATATCCTGCAATATGATTGAGGCACAAGCCTGAAATATTTAACAAAAATGTATATTGGTTGAGCCGGCCCCACACGCCAAGATAGGAGGAATTCATGACAGAAGAACGGCGGGGAGTTTTGTATGAAAATGATGAAACATGTTCAATGTGGGGTCCTGTCCATTAAATGTCCTTGTGACCATATGCAAGTGTGGCCATGCCATCATCCAGTATGTACCGCTTGCAGTCGAATGGAGACAATGCCACCTTGGTGGTTACCTCCTCATACACTGTGTGGCAATGTGATCGGAGACCCGTCATAGGCCTGGAAGACACACGATGACTGAGCAGTGCATCTACATAGTCCTTGTGGGTGATGGTATTTGCCAGGACTGCCTTTCGCACACCCTTGGCCCGTTTGGCCGATTCCTGTCCGATGTAGGAGTACATCTTCGATCTTAGACCTACAAACTCCACCATGGATTTCCCACCAAGCTCATCTTTGAATTTGCCAACCACTTTCTTATTGACAGAAGTGTACTGAGGATGGTCAGTGGGAAAGTTGCTGGTGTCATACAGAGACAGATCCATCTCTGCATAAACATCACCGGTGGTTATGTGCACAATAACAGAGTCGGTGTCGGTGTACAACAGCCGGATTCTGCTACCGTACTGCTCCTTCAGCACATCGTAGTAGAAGGAGTACATGTGTACCTTTGACAGGTCTAGTATCGACATACCCACATAGACCGGCTTGTTGAGCTTGATCTCAGTGTGCTGCTTTTCTATTCCGACAAGCCCGTTCGGGAAAATGTCGTGCCGCACATATGTAGGCTTGCTCACTGCCCTCAGTACCTGCTCCTCACTTTCTTCTCGCAAGAGATCGATGCGTATTCGATTACGAACGTTCTCCATCGTCTTGCCAAAGACTGAGTTGTTCATCAGCTGCAGCACACAAACAGGCAAACATGACGCATGAGAATCATATCATGCCATTCCTTCACATCAGCATATTTTTCAATTAGCATACTCCACGTCACACTTGCACCATACATGCGACAAAAACAACAACAACAACAACAACATACAAGACTGCACACAACGGTTGCATTTACCTTGTAAAAGCTCTTCTCAAAGTCGGTTGTAGCCCTCGTGCGAAGTGCAGTGTTCAGATTGATGTAGGGAGCCATCCAGGCACTCTGCTGAAATCCCAACACCTTGTGAACAGCGGTCACCACCATGCCCAGACGCGAATACAGCTGCAGTGTACGGTAGTGTAACACATACTTGGACTTGGGTAGGAGACTGGGTGTCAACTTGACTCCATCTACGGCTGACACTTTGAGCTCCTCCACAAGTGCTTGTTGGTATGGTGATAGCTTATCTGAGAATGTTCTCATCACTTCCGGTGCGAGTGGATAATCATTGAAGTAGTGGTGCAGCGAAGAGGGTACCTCAAGATCACACTCCACAATGAACCCAGTGCTCGAATCTACAGGGTGTGCCAGTATCTCGGACAGGTTCTTGTCACACCAGGCAAACTCGGATGTCGGCATACTCTGGCACATAGCCCAGCCATACAGGTTGTTGGCATCAAGGTATAGCAGGTATGATGTGGGCTCGGCAGAATTGTACTGATCCATCGTTGGGTTGTTGGCCTTGCCGTACCGCTGCGACGCCATTGAGATGCCCCCACGTAGACCGGCGTCGACAAACAGATGCATGTCTACATCCGTGAGCAGCTGCAGTTCAATCTGGGTGAACCGTAGTAGAGCATCCCATGCATATCCTACATAACACCATACAACACACCAGAACGCAAACACGAAAGTCAATACACCATGCAAAAAGTATATAAATACACCGACAAGAAAGCACAAGAATACTAACAGAGAACACCATCTAAAGGAGAGAATACATTGGACAACAACAAAGACTGATGAACATACCTGGGAGAGTAAGGTAATGGGCTGGATCCAACCCATACGTCTTGTATGCCGTCTTGCGGAAATGCTCAAAGACATCTGCTAGAAGATAGACATCTGTTTGCAAATAGAGGTCATGATAGGTCTCCATTGTACTGCACTCAAATGTCTGCAAAACGAAAAACAAAACAACAACGCACACACACACACACACGCAAGCATCCATACACACATGCACACAAGCATCCACAGATAGAGAGCAATGAGTACAAAAAAAAATGAGTAGAGCACATCACAACAGCATTCAAAGTCATAAGTAGAGCACAATACAGAAGGCACAAGCTGCTTACCTGCCATACGTTCTGAGCATGGGCATAGTCGGCATCACTGATACCTTCTCCAGTCAAACTAGACTCAAATGCTGATTTAGGTGGCAGCTGTGTCTCATCAAACCGAGCAAAGGAGTCCATGTACTCGTAGGGGTAGACACCCTTACGCAGGAGAAGGTCATGATGGGCCAATGTACGAGTAAGCTTGAGCGCATCTTCCGTGTTGCTCACCAACGAGTCAAGAGAGGAGTTCAAGAAGGCCATGGAGTCGATGAAGTGGTACTGACGCCACTTGAATGAAATATATTTCTCCATGTTGTTGGCGATGACACTGATCTCACCAACCTTCTTAATCCGCTTACGCTGGTTAGAGTCCTCGTACTCCACCTCTTCAACCTCAGTCATACCAATGTGGGCGATGAGGTGGTGAGCATCGTACCCTTTCAGGTTGTGAAACACAACCGGAATGATCTGGCGATCTGGGTAGATACTTAGCTGAATATTACACTGGTAGTGTGCAGCACCGCGGTAGTTGCCTGTGCAGATATTCAGAAAGAGGGGAATACACAAACATAGTAAACATCTACAGTGAAGGTGATACCACAGACAATACAATTCAATACACCATGATAAAACACAGATGCAAACAGCTACAAAGACATGAAAATGCACTATACACATCATGCGCATATCTACACACAACTGCAAAACAACAAAAATAAACAAAAAATTATAATACTTACCAGTGAGATGATCATGATCACGAACACGATCTTCTCCAAGTACTTCATCACATATCCAGCAGTTGACTGCGTTCTGAAACTCAAGCTCCAGTTCTGCCGTCATGCGAATTGGCTTGATATCAGCCAAATCCTCCTGGATACTGCCTTCCAACTCTTTGAGACTGTCGAAAAAGTTGTGAATGGCATTCTCACTGCAGTCGTCAAACTCGCCACGGACTTCACCGTTGGATCGGATGGCAGCATATCTACAAGAGCATAAAAGAAGAAGGAAAGTAAGAATGAGTGATTTAAAAAAAAAAATGGAATCACACAAAATGCACGTACTACAACACGAACACAATTAGGGGAGAACAAGACAAGAAGGAATAACAGGAAGCACTGTGCAGGCATGAGTACAGCAAACATTAGTCAAAAACAACACCAACAACAAAACATACCTGATGCTGCATGGTACATGACGGGCTGTGCGTACAGTGCTGCTGCCATGCTGTTCCTCCATCGGCTCAATGATGGCCTCCGTATCAGCGTAAATGATATATGGAGCCACCATCCTGTGCTTCAAATTTGTATATTTGAGGATTCTGTCCTTTGCTGTGGGCATGACGACTGGCACGGGCTTCATCACCTGACATCTCTCGCTGTGATGCTGCAGGGAGTCTGCTGTTTTGTGTGCGGAGAGGCATCGCAAGCAGTAGTGTGTTGCCCGCTTGTTCTTATTCTCACATGCACGACTGAAGTTTTTTATCCATGTGAAGTGGTTGTCATGAAGAAGGAGGTTGATTGGAGTCTCCTGTCGCTCGCTGAGATAGAGTGGGTACAGATTCCACTCGTAGCCAAACACATTGATTGCAAGACCATTCTGTAACTCCACTTTGGGTACATCACGGAGCGTTGCAGGGAACATCACACCATCGAACCGCAGCTCATCAACATACTGGGTGTACTTGGATGCACGCTCAGCATTCTGTTCGACGGGGTGCAGCGCTGACAACAACGCCCACATCAAACACCTGTCATCGTTGTTCTTTACGTTAATGATGGCCTTCTTTTTTTCTAATTTCGGCGGGATAGCAGCTGCACCACCTACAGAACACCACAAAAATACAACGAAGGCTTTGCTCAGAGTAACACCACATCACAACTACACCCTCTCGACAATCACGAAAAACTGTACATCTGGTACAAAACATACATCTACAACTTTCCACAAGAAATTCGACAGGCTTCGAACAAACACTGCCGGATGAACAGAAACTCACCTCGAAGAGGAGTGTACTTTGCTGTCGACACATCCAGCTGTCTCACTCGAGAAACGGTCCAGTTGGATCCGTTCTGCATCCACTTATCAATAAGACCAGTGATCCTCGCCACCATCGTCTTGACTGCACTATCAATGTCCCCTTCGCTGAGGATCCGAGCCGGTCTACTTCTAAAAAACGGGACGGCAGACGTACTACCCGTGGCCGACTCTCGTGTCATCTCCACCCTCAAAACTAAAACCACCTTGAAAGGGTGAGACTGAAGCTCCTCGAGCAGAACCTGTCGGAGCTCGTCATGATGGCTGCTGAAAAAGACGAGAGGATCAGTGCCTGAACCTGGCAAAGAAAACTTTTTCAAAAACCCACGCACGGCACTCGAGGTGGGCTGTCTAGCTATATGTCTGGGCTGCCTAGATCGTTTTGCACTTGGCTCCGCCATCGTCACGTCACCTCCAGCACTGCCTACAACATACTGAGGAAATAATCTCCCCGTACAGCGTATATGAGGTCGGCTATCACCCTACAATGACACGTGTACTAGTACACCTGGTGTATACGTCTTTTCCACACGCAGGGCCACTGAAGGTCGCACGCTCCGCGTACTTATGCGCGCATGCGCAATATGTCATTCACTGCACAATTACGATGTGCAAATCAGGGAGTAGTACGTCTTTTACTACTCCCTGGTGCGAATGCACCGAACGTGCACAAGTGCACGGTCGCCACGGAAAAGAACATGATGACATTTATGGCATGGCAGGGCCAAAGGTCGAACCCTGGGGGAGTCCCGGCCCGGCCCGGGGCCAGACCAAGCGCGCCCGACACAGTGTGCCTTATTTAACCCAAAGGTCAAAGGTCAAACCCTGGGGGAGTCCCCGAGCCAGACCAAACGAGCCCGACACAGTGTGCCTTATTTGGCCCAAAGGTCAAAGGTCAAAAAGTGCACCAGAACCCGCCCCGCACTAACTACTTAGTCACACTATCCAAAATGTCTGTGACATGCATAGTACGTAAGAACGGTTTCATGGCGTCTTTATATCTTTTACTTTGAATTATTTGCGGCTCCTACATCAAGTAAAGTTCCGTATTAGTTCCGTATTACTTCCGTATTAGCCAGGCAGGGATACTACACTTAGTACCCACCCAGCGGAATATGTAATTGTGAAAATTGAAAGGGAAAATTAGGTAGCTAACAACTGTTTTATGGTACCTCTATATCTTTTACTTTGAATTATTTGCGGCTCCCACTTTTATTACTTAACGGACATAACGGTAAGATAGAGCCTACTGTAGAGAAATTGAGTGGTTTAGTAACAGATCTACTGCGTTGCTAGAACTGGGGTGAGAGCAGGGACGGAAATGTGTAGCCTTTGCTGATGGGGTACCATTACCCTCATGTGACCAAGGAAAAGATTTCAAGACAGAGTATTTTCCCAGAGGTGTATTGCATCTCATGCATGTGTACCACCATTGCACCACTACTGAAGTGCTCGCAGTCCACTGTTCTATGGACTTAAAGCCTGTGCTATTGCTTACGTTCCCTGCCTCGCTCTTCCTTATGTTTAGACTACCAATCTCGGACCGCTAGATCTTACATACCGCGACACTCGGAATTGCAACATATCTTCATACATACCCTCTTCTGGCTACGTTCAAAGCTCTGCCAGACAAGGGCATCGCACATACTCCAGGCAGTGGAGTACTCTGCCTTAAGCAAACTTTTGAGCTCAGATAGTGATATCTTTTTCTGCAGAAACTGGCTAAAGTGCGTTTAGAATTGTTATAAAGATGTCTAGAATCTCTTTTTCATTCAGCTGAATGAAGAATGGTCCTCGAAGGATCATGACTTTTTCATCAGACTTTTTCTGTCAGGTGGTGTAACACTGATGATATCAAGCAGGTGGATCTGAGTGGAAGGCGCGGATTCTGTAGAGTTTCGTTTTCCTGCACTGCCGTTAGGGACGAGGTGTTGTCCAGAGCGTTAAAATTGGAAGGAAAACAGTTAGTATTAGTAGTTGGTGATGGAGCAGTTGAGTCCCTGCATATATTTGGTGTGGAGGATGACACCCCACTGCCGGTCATTACGTCCGCGATGGAGAAATTCGGATCCATCATTGGTGTTCCGAAGCGGGAAACAAAGACTGTGGAAGGCTGCACCTTCACAACTGCTGCTACTATATTCGTGAACCTATTGTAATGGTAGTCGAGTGGAGGCGCGGTGGTGAAATCAACACCAGTTATCTTTTATTATTATTCTCTCAGGTACACACCTGGGATATATTGTAAGTAAGTAAAAGAAGAAGCGGGAAATAAATAGAGTTTTCTCTCTGGTGCACGCCTGGAGGTTGACTACTTCTTCTTCGAGTTAGGTTTGTCGTTGCTATAAAATCTAATAAAAACAGAAATGCGCAGCAGCTTTTATGCAACAGACGCCGTACGCTTACATACGGAGATACACTAAAATACACATCAGGTAAAGTTCCGTATTACTTCCGTATTAGCCAGGCAGGGATACTTCACTTAGTACCCACCCAGCGGAATGTGTAATTGTGAAAATTGAAAGGGAAACTAAAGTACTTAAACAACTGTTTCATGGTACCTCTATATCTTTTACTTTGAATTATGTGCGGCTCCTATCTTTATATACTTAAAAGACACAACGGTAAGATAGAGTCTACTGTAGAGAAAATGAGTGGTTTAGAAACATGTCAATTGATTTGCCAAAGCAGCGGTGGGAGCAGGGCCGCAAAAATGTAGTCTATCCTACCGAGGTTACATGCCTATCATGTGTACAAGGAAAAAATTAGAAGGCAGTCCGAGTCTTCTCAGCGATGCATTGCATTTCATGCATGTATACCACCATTGCACCACTACTGAATGGCTCGCAGTCCACCGTTCTATGGTCTTATCATCTGAACCAAAAGGTGGTGTTATTGTTTCCCCTCCTTGCCTCGCTCCTCCTTAATTTCAGACTACCAGTAATGGATGACTAAATCTTACATAACGTGACACTCAGATTTGTAACATATCTTCATACATTCCCTCTACTGGCTGCGTTCAATACTCTGCCGTACAAGGGCATCGCGCATTCTCCGGCCAGTGGGGTACCTTACTTGATTACGTCACTCTGGAATGTCATGTCATTAATTTTCATGAAAAGAGCCTTCTGTAAACTGTAGTTCGTGGAACTCTACTTCAAGAAAGTTTCGGGTGTGTGCGTGTGTGTATGCGTTCGTGTGTGTATGGGTCCCGGCTTCGGAAGCGGAGGCTTGAATGGCTTGGCCATGTGGCCCGCATGTCGGATGTTCGTGTGCCCAAGCAGCTGTTGTTTGGCTTCCTACCGTCGAATCGGCCTGCGTGTGGTCCCCGTCGTCGCTGGAGGGATGTGATTTCGGCTGATCTTCGGCACATCGGCATTGAACATCTGGCTTGGTATGGGATTGCTCAGGATCGATCTGCCTGGTGGGTGTCTGCCGTTGGACCGAGCCTCGGCGGTCCTTCCCATGACCAATCTCAACGGGTGGACTGTCTTATCTGCCACCGTTCGTTTCGTCGACCAGGTGACAAAGCAAGACACAAGTGTAGCGCAGAACGAAGTCTCCCCATCCAGGAACAGCGTTGTGCTGTGCAGTGTGGTACATGCAGGAGGTGGTTTCACTCTCGTGGTGGCTTGCGTGTACATCATTGTTTGCCCCTGGAGCCATCGGAAGCGTCCGTGCCGGCATCACCTATACCGCTTAACGTCCAAGCTTCTCTCTTGTGTGTGACATGCAATCGGCAATTCAAGTCAGTGCCTGGTTTCAGACGTCACAAGTGCGACCGTGGCCATCGAGCAACCAAGTCTGATAGAGCGTCGTATGGTGTTCGCTGTTCTCGCTGCAACCGTCAGTTCCGTCGACAGAGTGACCTGAGTCGTCATCTCCGTTTCTGCTCCTGACAGTGACTCTGGCTCCTTTCGGAGTGGTGTGGCCCTTGTGGCAACCAAGCTACAGTAGTAGTATGCGTTCGCGTGTGTGTGTGTGTTTGTGCGTGTGTGTGTGCGTGTGTGTGTGCGTGTGTGTGTGTGTGTGTGCCAACCTATTGGAAGGCTATCTTCTTGTCAAAGCATTTGGAAGGCAGTACTAGTTTCGGGTCCACAATCCATTGTGCAATTATTATAGCTTTCATCGCTGAGGTTGTTGGTACGTCTGTTGCCTCTGGGTTCCCAGTACTCGGTAGCCGAGGCTGATTAGTTAGTGTCTGCTTTTTATTTCGCTTCTGTTCTTGTAGCATTTGATCACTCTTGTGGGGTAGTGCCTTTGATGTTCGCGTTATACAGAGCTCACTGACTTGCCAGTTTGAGTACTCTGACAAGGTAGGTTCGGGCCTGGTTTATAATATCTGGCTTTGGAGAATAATTTTTTCATTGTTACCCGGTTCGGCCTCATTTCCTCTGTGCTGCACTGATGAGTCCACAAAGGACGAAACAGTTCTGTCCTCAGATTTAGTAGTGTCTTCTTCTATCAAAGCAGCGTGCTGTCTATACTGGTTCCCCCAGCAACTGTAGAGTGTGCACAGGTAACTGTCTTGGCCGTTTCATGCCTGTGTACTCCGGCCGTGTGGTGTAGACCAGGTGTGAGTTGGTGGTCGATTCGCCTGGCTTCGAAGATTGTGTAGATTGGACATTTATCTGGCGCTAGACTTGATCTGTCTCATTCAGATCTTGTCCCTTATCGTTGCCATAACTATAGTATGAGAGAAAACCTGTGGGTGCAGAAAAAATGCAATAAATTTTGTAAATTATTTGCGTGCTTCTCTTGCGACGAGCGTATAATTATATGGTACATGCATGATACATGGTGCATGTGGCTGTGTGAGTGTGTGAGTGTGTGTGTGTGTGTATGTGTGTGTGTGTGTGTGTACGTGCGTGTGTGTGTTAGTGCGACCTAGAAATGGCATGAATAATAATAATACTAATAATAACTTTATTAGGATGACCCAAAGGCTGACCGCCTATCGTGGGGTCCGTCGCATTGAAGGATGATGGTACAAGAGAGTACAGATTGGGAAGGGGGGGGGGGGGAGGACTACGATGAACAGGGTAACGGCATGCCAGCGACTAGACATGAATAATGACAAGAATGTTTGCGCAGCTCTTTCTTGAATACATGGACAGAAGATTCCTAAGTCAATGTGGGTGGGAGACAATTCCATAAAAGGGAGGTTTTGAATAAAAAAAGTGATTTGGATGTTGTCAAGGCTTTGAATGCAGTCTACATTTCTCTGAAGCTACACGAGGGAAGCCAAATATGAAGATACTTTTGTTGTCAAGTACGGCAAAACCAGTCAGCTCAAACACACACCAAACAATATTGTGTAGAGCATCACAGTTTATCACAACGTCAGCAAACATCACAATAAGTATCTTACACTGTGTCCAGCAGTCTCCAACAACGGTAGATCAGTATATCCAGTAAGACTAATCCGTATCTATTCTCTGTTACAGTATCTAGCGGACAGAAATTCTTGCTTCTGAAATTAAATCATTATCATTACTGAGGCACACTGGCGCCAAAGAAACGATGACAGCGCTCCCAGCACACACAATGATTCTGTTATCATTAATTTTGTTGGCAAGCAGCAGGGTGAAAGCCCGGAGCCTGTAAATCAATGACATGTCGAACAGATGCTCTGTACTCCATCATGACAGGTAAGATGATCGACTGCAGATCTGTGGAGCCCAGCTGTCCAAGCATCCAGTTGCAGAATACACAAGAGAGGACGGGAAAGTGTAGTGTTAGTTTGTGTGCAAGATCGTGCCAGGTTCTGGACACGTTTCACTCTTCTAGATGCGATCAATGCACCCGTACTGAGTTTGTGTCAACTAACAGATTGACCGAATCTCTTCTGCTTGAACCTAGAACCTAACGTTGCGTTAGTTCCATTATGCAGATGACTGGGGAAAGCGAGCGTCGACGATCATATCCATGATTTTTACTGCTAGCAATTGTACAAAGGTCGTTATTTCTTAGAGCATCAGTAGGGATACTGTCGTCATTGTAAATAATAATTATTTCTGAAGTCGGAGCGCCTCACATGTACCGATTTGTGGAGCTGATTCGCGACATTTAGAAATAATCCGAACAATTCGGTGAGCGACTCAGCCCTGATCGAAGGCACAATGAGACTCTCGTCCACTACGCCGTTCTCTATGTGGATAGCATTGTGGCTGGCGGCCTCCGTCAGTAGTGTGTCTGCAAGGAGTGTTTCTGCAGGTAACCACTCCAGCGCTGCAAATGAAACAGGTAGGGGTATTGCCAGTGTGATTCCTCTAATAGGCTCTATACTACTGCACCGACTTGAACATTACAAGTCATCGGGTCAGAAAGCTGACACTCTTCAGTATCTCAGTTCTACTACGCTCTTTCTGTACCTTCGATACGACTGTCGCCTTCAATGAGAATGAATGAAATGAACTATCACGTTTGCAGCTGAATGCAAATACTCCATTCATTTGCTTTGCGAGGATTCAACAAGAACAGCATACAGATTTATCTCACTACTGTTCACAGTTGTCTGGTGATGGCCTAGTGCGTGAAGGTAACAGAATGAAATATTCATTCTCTTCCACGTACAAATGTCCTTGTTGCTTTGCAATGATTCAATTTTTCTTTATCTTGTTTGCCCGTAAGGTGATACTGAGTCGTGTATGGCACGCGTTCTTCATCTACTACCATCTACCGCTCTTCGTCTCAGCATCCAGGATACAGAAACTGTGCTAAGTGGTCTACATAACCCCATTGATCAGCTCAACTCTGCAAATGCTGACACAGCATCACTATCTGCGTTCTTAGGTGGACAGCAGAATGCTGATTTGCTGGTACAGTGTCTCAGTAAGTCTAGTATTGATCATCTCATTCCATTCTGCTTTCTATCCAGAGAATAGAGAGGATTATAATTATACAACCATACGATGTCATGTTTTTACGAAGTTTTCAACTCGATGTTCGTGTGTATGGAGTCCTATCACGGCAGCAGTTACGCCAATTTCATTCACCAACAGATCACCTCATGCACGAAACTCAGAAGAACATTCGAAATCCGCAGCAGTCTGTTGTTTCTTCTATGTACGTTACGTTTTAGCACAGGGAAAATAGCACTATTTGCAGTGAGGACCAGACACACTCTGTGCAGTTATTGGATGTGCACGTCACCAGTTCAATATCCTTTGACGCCTGTTGCATTGCCTTCTTTTGGATCATTCAGCAGAAACAAAGCTCTTGTGTTCTGCTGTAGTATTAGAATTCTCTTCCTAACTTGTTCTGGCCAAATTTTGTCACGTGATTCTTGGTTTGTGCAGGTGGTCAGCTTGAGCAATGTCGAGAAAGTCCCCAGTGTGGCGATGCGGGAAAGTGCATCTTCACACGTTCTTTACAAGGAAAAGGCTCATACGTTTGCAAATGTGATGATGGTCATACCGGAAAGTTTTGTCAAACAGGTAATTAAATGAGGCAGAACAAAAAAGAAAAGAAAAAAAGTAAATTTTCGTGTCCGTTCCCGAAGGGAACTCACGACGGCCGCTAACACCCGGTAAACCCTAGCGGCAGATGCAGCGCCTAACGGTGGGGTGAGTGGATAAGTCTCACAACCACTGGCACAAGTACCGAGAACGACCCCATTAGCTGCATCCATGGCAGGACAACAGAGACCAAAAATCTTACTCGTAACTCCGTGTTTCGTGTTGATAAACACTCATCAGACGATAAAACATAATAAGAGGTATATTGCTATAACCAAGATGGGAGATACATGTAGAACCGGCGCAGGAATTAGGTAGGTTTCAGTGGGAGTTGTGTGACGCCAAAGGCTTGGGTAGAATGTGTGACATAGTAGATACTAGTGTGGATAATGGCGCAATATTTGGTTTGGTGTTAGTGTGAAATAGTGAGGGTGTACATGTGTGTGCATGAGAGAGGGAGAGACAGAGAATGTGTGTGTGTACATGCATGTGTGTGTGTGTGTTTGTGTGTGTGTCAAAACACTGCATATCTCATCATGTGAACCCAGCGTGGTTTCCGCGCGAGAATTTGTTGGAATGTCTACACTTCGAGATGAGCTCACTTCTCTTCTTGACACATGCTGCTCTACCCGCGGTTATCATCTGGAACTTCTCCGAGAGGCAGAGTTGGAACCTCTTGCTGATGTTGCTGTAAGCTCATGCTCGTTCCAAAACACTCCACTGGGTCGATTAGTCTTCCTGTCTCTCCTTCAATTTCCAGACTTACTTGGATAGCTCGGTGCTCTTCCTTCTCTGCTTGTGGTTGAATGTGTACTTTTGGTTTCCGTACCGGGTCTTGAACGTTAGCTCTGTTGCTCCGAAGTACACACGTCCTGGGTTAACATTACTGCTTTTCACTTCGGCTGTGTACTGTGTAGACCAGCAGCTGTGTCTGGCATTTTCCTCTCATAGGGCAGTCAGGCTTAGCTCGGCAGTTGCATGGCACGTCTTCCTGTTGTGGGCTGAGTAGCTTGTTGTTGTGTCCACGCATGATGCAACTGTAAGCAACTGTAGCTCACCTTCACCGATTTCTTGTTAAAGATCTTGTGAAGATCTTGTGGCAGGTAGTTATTATTAAACTACTTCTGTTGGGGCACAAAACCAATATTATTTTTCCCCGCGGTAATCAGAGACCATTGTTGGGATGGAAGCATGTGTATAATCATGGTATATTTTCGTTCGCTCTGTTTTAGGATAAGCAAACACATTGCATTTCCTACTTTTACTTGTACGGTTGCACGCGATAGATTGGAGATCAAGTGTTATTTTATTTACGTGTTGTGATAAGCGAAACTATCACTTCAAAATGCTGCTTCCTTCATCACTTTCTGAATGAATTCCTTCATCCTGTTCTTCTTTTGTTTGCCATCCCTACCTCACAGTACCGCCATCCTGCTCTGGTAATCCATGTCAGAACGGTGCAACATGTCGACAGAGAGGATCATCGTTTCATTGTCACTGTCCACCACTGTATATTGGAACACGTTGTGAAGAAAGTAAGTGTGTAAAAGAGAGCACGTTGATGCTGATCTGATCAAGTGGAAGGTTGTATGCAGTGTGTTCAAGATATCATTAGGAAGGGATGATGTTCACAATACCGATCACTTATCCTTATCTTGGCTCGCATCATAATCAAACACAATGACGTTTTATCTTCCAAAGACATTCCACCAAGTATCCTTGGTGCACAAGGAAGCATTAGTAAATGCTACTTAAGTCTTACGTCGTTGGCAGATGGATCATTACAACGAACAAATTCAAGCGGTTTACAAAATCAGTGTCGGCTGATGCTTCCAAATCTCTGATAATCTAATAGGGCGTTTCGGGGGGGGGGAGGGGACGTTGGAAATGAGTTGTGACCTAACCAATACGACACATGTCCTTCATATCTTCTTACCATCCACCTTCTAGTGTGCTGTGAGTTGCCTGGGTAATACACGTGAGAAGCGGTGTGTGGCAATCATGTCCAAGCTAATCATTTTACCTCTTGCCGCTTCACACCTTCCTGTCAGTTTTGTTCCACTTGCAAACAACCGATTTCCAAGCAGCTTGTCTTTCAAATATACAATTTTTCAGTTCTAGACTATGTATTTGTAGTAGAAACTGTCTTGCACGAGAAACCAATGACCGCGCTGTACACACATGTATCATTACATATGTAAGAAAGGTATTACCTAGTCAAAAGATGACTTCTGGAGAGTACTGGAAATGCTTTCGGTCACCGTTGAATGATCGTTGCTAATAATTGTAAAACGTAGAATGAATCTTTAATGATTTTGGAAGCAGTAATCGCTTGGCTTAGTCACCAAAATACACTGATAAAAAAGGTAATGAAAGCGATTTGGAAAACTATTAGCAATTCGATCATGCGTGGCGATGATTGAGGATAAACAGTGCTCCTGAAGATGCAAATGTAAACCCGATCGAGTCTTATACAAACCGTGAATTTTGTGTTGTTTGCTCTCCAGAGTGGTTGGATGTAGCTAAGTTTAAACAGCAATCCAACACATTAAATCAAATCAGTGACGATGTTTCACAACTGAAACATGAACTACGTGCAGGAAGACGAGATGATATCAATCGTATTGATTCATATCTTCAACAACTGGGTGCGAAGATTCTTACCAATGTAAACTCCACTATGAATCAGATGTCATCTCAAGTTGCCGCCCTGGTGAGTTCATGATATAGCGGATTGCGTCATTTGTACTAGTAGAACATGTGTTTACCAAGCTATAAATAACTTTGAAATGACCGAACCAGAGTTTGTGTAAGTTAGGCTCACTACTCCTACAAGTTAGTGAAGGCTTAATGAGTGCATGTAATCTGCCAGTATACAATCCAAACAATGACATACAGACGTGTTTGCCTGTAATATTGATGAATATTCCTCAGCATTCGTCCGAAGCCTGGAGATTGGCACCCACCGTGCAAGCATTCAGCCACAAAAGGTGGAACGTGCATCATTGTTATGATAATAATTCTTAATGATGTTAGGTGAATTGATAGTAAAGAAATAAAGGACAAAGAAACTACAAGTTACGCTATAATGTCCACTAACACCACCAGTTACCAAACAATCAGCTCATGAGATAACATTGCACGACATTGACCGACGGTACTGACGTTCTACAACTAACTGGCTAACAGCTCAAGCACATCTTGGATGCGCACTCTAACAGCCTCCCAGGTTGGAAGGTTCTAAGTTATAGAAATAACATGAGGCGGGGAAGGTGAGCGCAACCAAGACAAGCACAAGCTGAAAGTCTCAGCTGTGAAGGACGTTGGCGGATGTTCATGCATGTCGATGACGATACTGGCAGGACCACGGGACAACACGGTCAAACCCCGGTTCGAGGACGCAAGGAACATTCCGCACAACTTGTGTGGCGCAAAGATGCGAAGATCAATATAATTAAAAAAGGGGAAGCTATGCGAACAAGAATCATGCAAAACCGAATGCCTAATGAAAACAGCGCTGTACTTCGACTTTGTCTTGCCAGTATCGCCATTGACATATATCAACATCCGCCAACGCCCTTCACAGTTGAGACTTTCAGCTCGTGCTTGTCTTGATTCCGCTCACCTTCCCCTCCTCATGTTATTTCTGTAACTTAAAACCTTCCAAATTGGAAGGCTGTTGGAGTGAGCTTCCAAGATGTGCTAGAGCTGCTAGCCAGTTTGTTGTAGAACGTCAGTACCGTCGGTTAGTGTCGTGCAATGTTATCGCATGAGCTGGTTGTTTAGTAACTGGTGGTGTTAGTGGACATTATTGCGTAACTTGTAGTTTCTTGCTCCTTTTTTCTTTACTATAAAGTATCCTTGGGTGTCCATTCGGGTTCAGTCCGTAATTGGAAACACAAGAGGATTATAGGAAACCACGACCGAAGGAACTCAACTAACAACCCACCCCCTTATGCAGGATAGCTGCCGATGCAAGGATTGCATTCGTTTGCAATTCTAACAGAGAGCAGTGGCTGGTATATACATGAAACTGGGGATGTGTAATTTAAAATAATTGTAGATCTTCGGTTTGACAGCAATGTCCTACAACTGAGTTGTTATCCTTGCGATCGCAGACTTCATTTCCTTCAGCCGCTGGTACAAATGATTCCAGTGAGAAGAAACGGGGGAACCCCCAAACAGTCATAATTATTATATTATTTTGTGCATTTTGAAAAGCAAATCAAATTGGTAATGGTCAGAAATCTAATTATAGCCTCATCTTTACAAATGTTTTAAGTAACAGTGTTGATTCTTCTTGTTTGGATTTACCACAGAATGAAAGGCTGAACGAAGTCCAGGAAAATCAAGAAGGTAAAATGCAATCATTCATTGGTTGAAAGAAGGTGATATTGAATAGAATATTGAAATTGACATGGCAAACATTTATACAGCTAGTGACAAAGGCCCTTCCGCTGCGCCTGTATGATTCCCATGACCCTCTATTAGACTCTCATCATGTGATTGCCCAAATAAGCAGACGCAGTGACAAAATACCTCCGAACTGACTGTTGACAACAGAATACTTCAAATCATGGTTCTTCTCCAATATGATAGCTACCATGTTCGTCCTAGAGAGGGATGCCTCGGGGCCACACATGCCTACACATGCCTGTCCCAGTGTGGAAAACACTAATAGTGCGAAAGACCCGATCTCGACACTGTCTACCCAGGCGCAACACTGCCTTTTCTTCGCCTGCTCGTGGGGCGGCGGTACGTAGGTAGCTAGGTAGGTACTTCGGAAAGCCAGCCGGGGAGAGGCGTGGAGCACTGTAACTATCAACTTGATTGACACACTTTCATTCAGCGATTTTTCCGTACCAAGACGAGGTAGGTGAGAGAGAAGACCTTTCCACCAGGCATGAGAGCCCAAACGCGATGGAGTTCAGTGGGAAGACTAGACGACTTTTGAATTTTACCAAATGAGCCCATATCATGTTATGAGTGATTAGCTAGCAGGCGCAATGCAGCGAAGTTGTACCAGGCTCATTTTGAGAATTTTCAATTGTAGAGGAGGCTATTGGCAATGTTCTCCGAACGTCGTGAGGTATCCCGTGTTCTGTTCCCCTTCAGTGATCCGGACTTTATCTCAAAAATGTTATTGATATGCTAAATTCGTCTCAAGACATTCATGAGGTGCGTATATTGCAGAATGTAGAATCTGCAAGACTGTGATAATACTACTTCAAATAAGTGGTGAGTTGAAGATGGAGAGCGAGTTTGACAGCTGTTGTTATAATTATGGAGAGTAAAGCTGCTTAGGGCGGCAACGAGGCTCTTTTGTATCACCTGTGCACCCAGGAATCAAAGTACGTTACCGTTTGCGCTCACTGGACACAGATAGGGCTTAGAGACAAAATATTCACGGTTCGCGTTAGACTTGGCTGGATGCCTTCCGCTTCCACGTAGGACTTGAACCTGGTACCCTCTGTGTTTCAATCAAGGTCTCAGACCATCTCATTAAGCTTGCCTGCCTGCTGAAACTGCAAACGCGGTTTTACAATTCTACAAGAAGTTGGAAGTTTTGCTATGATCAGTCACTTGTAGCTTTGGTGATAGGCACGTATATGAATACTCCACATAATTTTCATGCTGCCCAAGCTCGCGGGGGTAACACCGAGACCACAGATCGGCATGTTTATTATTGGCTTGTCTCACCAGCGCAGATTACTTCTCAGAGCCCCTACTCTTCACATTGTCGTGTTGTCCTGCTACTTCTCTACCCTCTTCTCACGACTAGGTTGTGTCTTCTTTAAAAAATATACTGGCCTTCGTTGTTACCTTTCTCCGGTAATGACTCTTTTTACTATTCTGATTCCTAATTCTGCAGTGTCATTTCTCTGTCAGAGAACAGACTCTGGTCCGCCAGGTGTATTCAATGGCAGAACACCGACAACAAGATTCACTGCATACTGTGACCGAGAGACTGATGGAGGTGGCTGGATTGTGTTTCAGAGAAGACAAGATGGCTCAGTGGACTTTTACCGTGACTGGAATGCATACAAACGAGGATTCGGATCAGCTTCTGGAGAGTTCTGGCTGGGTCTAGATACACTACACTATCTGACGTCACAAGCTGGTAGTACTTATGAACTGCGTATTGATATGGTGTTCAAGACAACTGGAGAGAAGCATTATGCCAAGTGGTCAACATTCCGTGTTGAAGGTGAAGCTAACAATTACAGACTACACGTTTCAGGATTCTCAAGCCCTACATTGCAAGACAGAATGAATTACCACAATGGACAACAGTTCAGTACTCGAGACCGTGACCATGACTCATGGAGTGGTGACTGTTCCAATGCATACAAGGGTGGTTGGTGGTATAACACCTGTCACGAAATCAATGTCAATGGATTGTATGGACGTAGTGATGGAGACGCAACTGGTGTAGTGTACCGTCAAAACGTGTTCAAAAGTTTGAAGTTCGTGGAAATGAAACTAAGAAGGCGTGGATAAAACCCAATGCACTACTAGATTCACTACACACACTCTGCTCATTTGCATTCAAATGCAACATTCTGCACTTTTAAACGTTTCCACTGGTCTCCTCTTTTCATGATGGCTTATCTCTATCCTTGGAAATATGTTGTACCTCTTTCCGCCCATACATTTCTTTTGCAGGAGAGTCAGCCTGCAACTCGATTCTTAATCTCCGGGTTCCAAAAAGCCAGTATTGCTTATGTTTAACATAATAATTATTAATACGCACATGCACAAAGGGAGTGTTTACCATTTCAGGGCATTGCGCGCATCTTCATAACCAGCTCCTCCGCCACCATACAACACATTGATCTCCTAGGAGCGCTTTCGTTTTATACTTCTTATCAGCGAGCCATCGTGGTTACAAGAATACAATCACACTTTCTAATATACTGTACTTTTCCTGTCTACTACAATCACCCGCATTCTCTCACTAACCACCTGCACATTAACCATCTAGCGCTATACACTTTACCAGCTGTTTTCAGAAACACTGTAGAATGACTCACGAGCAAAAGCTGAAGTTCAATGGAGGGGTAGTCACACTATCGAAAATGTCTGTGACATGCATAGTAGGTCTCTTACGGTTTCTTGGTGTCTTTATATCTTTTAATTTGAATTATTTGCGGCTCCTATTTTTATTACTTAAAATACACAACGGTAAGATGGAGCCTACACTAGAGAAATTGAGTTGTTTAGCAACAGATCTAATGCGTTGCTAGAACTGCGATGAGAGCAGGGACACATATGTGTAGCCTCTGCTGGTGGGGCTACCATCATCGTCATGTGAACTAGGAAAAGATTACGACGCAGTCAGAGTCTTTTCAGCGGTGCATTTCATCTCATGCATGTACACCACCATTGTACCACTACTGAATGGCTCGCAGTCCACTGTTCCATGAAGTTATAGCTCGTGCTATTGTTTACGCTCCTTGCCTCGCTCCTCCTTAAATTCAGGCTTCCAGTCTTGGAACACATTATCTTACATAACGCGACCCTCGCAGTTGAAACATATTTTCAAACATTTTCTCTACTGGCTACGTGCAAAGCTCTGCGGTACAAGGGCATCGTACATTCTGTGACCTATCCCACCAGGGTTGCGCTGGCGCTTACACTCACACTCCCATTTACACCTTATTCTCGCACTTACATCATCTACACTTCCACTGCGTTGTGTTAGTTATCACGTCGCTCTCCCCCAAAATATATCATGCTATCTACTCCCATTGAGTGTCTATTCCTCAGCTCAGGAAATTGTTCCACCTTCTCCTTGCAGTGTAGTACCCCACCTGTATATGTCACTCTGTAATGTCATGTCATTCCATGAATTGGGCATTTCTGTGGGCTGTCATTGGTGGAAATATATTTCAGTAAAGTTTGGGGTGGGACACTATGGCTAGCTGCTAGCTGGTCACGCCCACGCTGCATAGCAGACGGCGTTCTGCAACGTTGCCCGTAACTGCAATTTCTGAAAAAAATCAGCATTTCGAACACTATACTTTCTGTGATAACGGATTAAATGGGTCACAACACTGAGTTGAATTTTAACAGCATAATTTGCGCAAGCTGGCATTAAATACTAGTACAGGTTCCACTTCGAGAACGCTTTGCTGGAGAGTTGAAATTCTCTGGTCAGGTGACGTCACCATCATGCTATCACTGGGTACAGGTACGAGTCATTCAGAGTCTTCTCATCAAGTGTACGTAATTTTGCAGTAGATCAGTGTGTTGCCAGAAGGCATGGGAGTGTATTGGGGTGTTTTGGATGCTCAATCAACTATTACACGCTATGTTTCACTCGACGTATCCGTTGGTGGACCGCTGTGAGAAATCGTTTTTGTGGCGTATTGTCTGATTTTTTATCATTAGGTAGCAGGCATAATCAGGATGCAGCACACACACGCGCACGGACACGCATGCGCACACACACACACATACACATACAAACCACCAACACCACCACGACTGCACGTATGCCCCGTAAGGAGGGAGATTTGCCACACCACTAGCGGCGGGGCAATCGCTCTAGGAAGTGTATAGCGGCCGCTGTTATCAGTTTCCCTAAGTGCGAACAGGAAAGAGCAATCTGGAGAGACGTGGTCCTTATGACATAATATCAAACCCATTTGGACCTGAAGATCAATTCTCCTGTCCGCCGCGTTTCCTGCGCATACCAGGCATAACCTTTGGCAATGTCGAGAAGTTTCTTTTCCTCAGCTTGCCTGTCCCTTTTGTCTTAGCGGCGGCCACTTTTCTTATTGGGGACTCAGGTGAATGGCGAAGTCCCTCGAAGCCTTCACCTGCGGGCTCTAGAGCCTTTTGCGCGGCATTCACAATCAGTATCACTCTGCCAGGATTAATGATGGACGGGACGTGCTGGGTACATTCACTACGTGCTGGTGTCCAATCCCTCACCTCAGCTTTGATGAACCGCAGACGATTGGCGCATGTCAAAGCCCATGTCCAGCGGCTGTCCAATGCGCAAACAATGAAAATGACGCGGCGGTGAAACAGTGAAATTGAAAAGGCCACATCACTTTTACCTCGAACTATCGAGAGATTTTCCCTCCCCATCCGTTGCGCTGCATTGTTCTGATAATGTAAGATCTGACTGACAGGGATAAATGACTGCCGTTTGCAAACCCTAGAGGCCTGCATGTATCATGACATTACACATCATGCCAACGCATTGCGGACATACAATGTATTCCCGACCATTACACTGTATGTTATGTACTGCAATTGTCCGGAATATGCTCAAAGAGGGATACTGGTATATCCTCAGCCTCAACAATGCTTACCCTGAGGTGTTGCCTGTACGCTGTTACCTCCCATTCTTGACCCAACATGTGCCTGCAAAGATTATACCATTGTCATGCTGATATTATACCGGTGACTAATCGCACACCAGATGCGCAGCCTAATGAGAGAGGTTGCACGTCCTATTCGCCTCTTGCTTCTACTTCCATCTCATCAATGCTGGTGACTCTGTGCTCTCAAGGAAACTGATAAATACCAAAATGTGCCATACACTCTATTCTGAGCAAGAAAGCAAGGTTTGAAGGAATGACTCCAGAACATTTGTCCATGATTGTGCTATATACGCCGTGTACTTTCTGTCCACTATTAACTTTGACAGTGTTATAATATAATAAATTTATAAGCACTTGCCTCATGAGCGAGAAAATACGGAGGTCTGAATTTCAACAAACGTTTCTCTCCACGTGTTGCACAACAGCTGGAGCATTTGATTGGGCTCCCAAGTGCGAGCCTGCGGCCTCGATTCCCAATAATGTGCGACTATAATTCCCACCGCCCCTTCTCTATCCCTCGGGAGCCCATATGAGACTGGATTTGTTTTGGGTAGCTTACCTGCATGACCTTGGTTGGATCTGGGAAGGCTAATGCGACGAGGGAGAGGAGATGAGTATCCCAGTACTATCACCCCAATTGTACGTGTATATACCGGTAACCCATGGAAACAAGATGTCTCTAAGTCTCTAACGCATTGTGACCCTTCCATTACAATTAAATTTTACTGTCCTTATAGACTACCAACGCTTTGATCTCCCTACAGTGCACGCACGCACGCAACAATTATCGTGATATCATAGCAAGCCATACACATACATGGGTTGGTTGTTATATCCCAATGGCAATGCATTACATTTGCTCGAGACGTCTTCATGTTTTCATGTCTTCATGTTTTGCTGGGAATTTCTCTGAGGCAGGAGGAAGATCGACATACACACAAACACACAAGCGCGCGCACTCACACAGAAACGCACACACACATAATGATATACACGCACACGCACACGCACACACACACACACACACACACACACACACACACACACACTGGCACGTGAAGCCCGCTCTTCAGCCATTATGTTCCTGTCTGTGTTCTGCGAGGGCGCACCTTCCGATCGCTCTGTTCATGTTGAAAACAACCTTGCAACAGCAGCGTTGAACTGAGTAAAACGTAATTACGCCACCGGGCCTGCAGAGCTTATCCAGGTAGCGAAGGTGGAAAAGCTACATGTTTAAAACAGCGGGCCTTCTTGTATGTTCTTACACTCGGTGCCTATACGTCACCTTGATTATCAGCCTCCGTGTTTCACACAGGTAAAGGAGTTAGTTAGGTGTCAAGCAGGCGCCTCCCTTCTTGTACAACTACAAGTATAATCGCAGGAAACAAAATGTACTATGGCAGTGGTCACTCCACATTATTCATACTGTGAAGGTGCTACTCAGTGTTTCGGGTTATACAACATCATAGCGCAAGTTCATGTGCATTTAGTTCAAGTCTGTAAAATCGTGGCCATATTCAACTACATGTTATTATAAAATGCTACCCAAGGTTTTACAACATTTTATGATGTATCGTACAATACTAGGATCTTGCCATGCACGAACATTCTACACCGGTTTTGCAGCAGTATCGTTCCTTCTTTGACAGAGCAGTATCATAGCCTCAAGGTATGGCGAATACAACCTGCGTGCACATGGGTGAGAAGTTGCTTTTGGCTCTTCATGATATTGTATCATCTTTTGTGAGCACACGATTTTCATGAGAACGTTTTCAGCCAACCCTACAACTCTTGACTGTCTCTGGCTATATTGTATATCTTCAGTTCCGATCGTAGATTAAAAGCCATCACGTCCAGGAACCCACAAATAATAACGTTCCGGTCCTATGTTGGGATGGAATGGCATTGGTTGTGCAAGTATTGCCGACATCACCTCGTTACAGGACAGTCTGGTACGAGTGGGGTCTAGTTAAGTAGAGGCACTAATAACATAGTGGTACTGCAGTGTTCAGGGTATTCTGAACGGTCTGAAAGGAACCTGGTAGCACTGGTTATTCTTCTCCACTGTACAATTTCATTCCACGTAGAGTAGCGATGTCATAAGCTGTTGACGGAGACTTTTTTATTTTTCATTTTATTTTTTTACTAGAGCCACGTAAACCCGTCATGTGTGAGCCGTGAATAAGGGGAGTGGTGGCGTGATCTGGGATGCTCTGCCGACCTTGGGTCTCGGCTTCATCACAACCAGGCGCGCCAATAGCACACACACACACACACACACACACACACACACACACACACACACACACACACACACACACACACACACACACACACACACACACACACACACACAGAGACTACCTTTATTTAGGCTAAGACCTGTGGAGAATCCATAAATGCAAATACAGTACTAGACTCAAGACCAGTGCTACTTGGTGCCGTGGTGCACGTTGGCATAGTAACTTCGTTGCACCGTCCGTGATGCAGTGGCGCGCATACTGCGACAGAACCCCGAAACAATGTTTTAATTAGGGAATGACGATTCAAGAAGGAAACAAAGTCAAACGCTCCGAGAGATAGACAGAAAGAGAGTGAAAGAGAGGGAACGGGATAGAGTGCTGGAGGCATAGATGAATGTACATGGTAATCAACGAGAAATATACACCAAGGGACAGTGAACATCCCAGGCTCTTCTCTACGCTGTCGGCGATACTTATTAAACGTTCACTCTTAGTGAAATGAGACTAGCGTCGTGCTGCGCAATATTCTATTTCCGGATTTAGAAAAGTGAAACCGGCACTCTTCCTCCTACCGCCGTCTCCGCATCCTCATCCACTTACTCTCCGGCCAATATGCTCCGCTGAAGGGAAGTGAAGCATCTGGTCACATCTCAAGGTAAGCGAATACGGAGCTCTATCGCTACCTCATGCAGCTGATGTGGCCAGTCAGTGCAGTTTGATCCAATCGTGTGTGTAGAGCACGTGTACGCAGGTCCAATGGCAAATAATTGCTCCCTACCACGACTCGTATAGTGGACAACGTCACGTGCACGCAGGTCCAATGGCAATTTGCTGCCTACCACGACTCGTACAGTGTACATTGTCACGTGCACGCAGGTCAAATGGCAATTTGCTGCCTATCACGACTCGCACAGTGTACATGGACACACTGATGCACCCGAAGCTCCGAATACTGTAGTTTGGTTTGGTTTGGTTTTTATTACATTTCAGTTCGTTGCCTCAACAGTACGAAGTACAAATATCAAGAGAGACGAACGAAAAGAGAAAGTGAAACAGAGCAGAAAGGAAGATGCAACTGGAAGGAAAGGAAAACGGAGAGTCATGCTATACATGCGTAGC